GATCGAAAACACCAGGCACCTTGCGAGTTGGTGGCGGTCAGTTCTTCGGAGAAAGGGCTCCAGTTGTAGGTGGCCCCTCGAAAAGTCACCGGGAGGGGGGTGGTGGTTTGAGCTCACGGAGCTCATCTGGGCGCTGGTGGTGGCCCCCGTAGGAGAAATTATTAAACTGGGGTGCAGGGGAGGAGGTTCTGCGAGGCTGCAGTCTGTGCTGGCCACCCGTCTCCTTTGGGTGGTGAGACACCCCACGTTGGAGCCTTTGGGAGCTCCTGGATTTCTTCCCGAGGTGAAGGTCTTGTTCCTTTCCCCCCCAGGCACGCCATGGATACCACCGGCCACAGCGTCCTCCTCCTCCAGCAGCTCAACATGCAGCGGGAGTTTGGCTTTCTGTGCGACTGCACGGTTGCCATTGGAGATGTTTACTTCAAAGCCCACAGAGCGGTGCTCGCTGCTTTTTCAAACTATTTTAAGATGATATTTATTCATCAGACGAGGTAAGGACACGCGGCTCTCCTTCCGCCTTTTAACTGCTCTGCTCAACTTTCTCCTTTTCCCCCCCTTCTAAATATAGTAAAGTCTAAAAGAGCGTAAGTGAGACCTGGACAGGCTGGAGAGCTGGGCAGAGAGGAACCTGATGAACTTCAACAAAGGCAAGTGTAGGGTGCTGCACCTGGGGAGGAAGAACCCCCTGCACCAGGACAGGTTGGGGGCTGACCTGCTGGAGAGCAGCTCTGAGGAGAAAGACCTGGGAGTCCTGGCGGACAACAGGATGCCCATGAGCCAACAATGTGCCCTTGTGGCCAAGGGCATCCTGGGGGGCATCAGGAAGAGTGTGACCAGCAGGTCGAGAGAGGTCATCCTGCCCCTCTGCTCTGCCCTGGGGAGGCCCCATCTGGAGCACTGGGTCCAGTTCTGGGCTCCTCAGTTCCAGAAGGACGGGGAACTGCTGGAGAAGGGACAGCAGAGGGCTACAGAGATGATGAGGGGCCTGGAGCATCTTCCCTACGAGGAGAAGCTGAGGGACATGGGTCTATTTAGTCTGGAGAAGAGAAGGCTGAGGGGAGACCTTAGTAATGCTGACAAGGATCTAAAGGGTGGGTTGAGGGAGGATGGAACTGGACTCTTTTCAGTGGTTCCCAGGGACAGGACAAGGGGCAACGGGCACAAGCTGGAACATGGGAAGTTCCACTCCAAGCAGAGGAAGAACTTCTTTGGGGTGAGGGTGGCAGAGCCCTGGAAGAGGCTGCCCAGGGAGTGTGTGGAGTCCCCTTCTCTGGAGATCTTCAAGCCCCACCTGGATGCTCCTGAGTGATGTGCTCTGGGCAACCCTGCTTTGGCAGGGGAGTTGGACTTGGATGGTCTCTAGAAGGTCCCTTCCAACTCTGACGAATCCGTGATTCTGGTAGGACCCATGGGCTCAAAGCAATTGAGAAGCCATAGCTTTATTGTAGTTCTGCGCTTCAGACACTTGCAGATAAGGCCCGAGACAGAGGTGATCAGTTTATCTCAAGCTGCTGTTCAGATACTTCACCAGAGCGAGTGGGTCAGGAGTGGCTCCACAGGTATAACAGCAGCCATGCCGAGGCCTAATCTGGCCTCTGAGCTGGAGCTTGCTGCCTGTGATCAATTAAACCCTTCTCCGTTCCCCTTCGTTTTTGAGGGTAGTGGCCCCCGGCACCTTTGGAAGATAATCATTAGCCATCGGGCACGTAGCCCTTTGGCTGGAAGCAGGAAGATCAGTTAACTTCCTTTCCGACAGACGTTACTTACTGACACCTCGGTGCAAAGCTCATAAAGATTACACGCTCGCGGCGGCTGAATTTATTACTTAAGCACACAAATATTCTTGGGCTGGTGTTGTTGGAGTGGCACGCTCCGGTGACGTGCAGCCGGCGTGGCGTCGCTGCGGTGCCGTGCAGCAGCAATGGGCTGTGCCTGCAGAACTGTCCTGTGTCCACTTCTGGGCTCCCCAGGTCCAGAAGGACAGGGAACTGCTGGAGAGGGGACAGCAGAGGGCTACAAAGATGATGAGGGGCCTGGAGCATCTCTCTTACGAGGAGAGGCTGAGGGACTTGGGGCTTTTTAGTCTTGAGAAAGCTGAGGGAGATCTGATCAATGTTTATAAATACTTCAAGGGAGGGTGTCAAGAGGATGGGGCTGGTCTTTTTTCAGTGGTGCCCAGGGATAGGACAAGGGGAAATGGGCGTGAAATTGAATGTAAGAAGTTCCACCTAAACATGAGGAGGAACTTCTTTGCTGTGAGGGTGGCAGAGCCCTGGCAGAGGCTGCCCAGGGAGGTGGTGGAGTCTCCTTCTCTGGAGGGACTCCAAACCTGCCTGGACACGTTCCTGTGCAACCTGCTCTGGGTGGACCTGCTTTGGCAGGGGGGTTGGACTAGATGATCTCCAGAGGTCCCTTCCAACCCCTTATCATTCTGTGATTGAGTGCTGCTTGTTGTGACCAGGAGGCAGGCAGCAGCAGACACGCTCTCACAGCAAAAGTGAACAGGCAGGTAACAAGTTGGGACTGTAATTTGGAGCCCTGTACGTCCCTCATCATCTGTCTTGTTTCAGCGAATGCATAAAGATTCAGCCTGCAGACATCCAGCCCGACATCTTCAGTTACTTGCTGCACATCATGTACACGGGGAAGGGGCCGAAGCAGAGTGTCAGCCAGAGCCGGCTGGAGGAGGGCATCCGTTTTCTCCACGCCGACCACCTCTCCCACATCGCCATCCAGATGAACCAGGTGTTCTCCCCAGAGCCAGTCCAGTCTTCCAACCTGTACGGCATCCAGATCTCCACAGCCCAAAAGCCGGCGAAGGAGCGCCCGGGCGCGAAGGAGAGCCTGCCCAAGGCGGGCAGCAGGTCCTCTGCCCAGGGCGACCCCCCCCAGCTGCAGCTCTCTCTGGCCATCGGCCTGGAGGACACCTCGCTCGACCAGCAGGTCGCTCGCCCCTCGGCCCAGCCCCCTGCCCTTGCCAAGCCGGCAGAGGAGCGCCCGAAGCTCTCCGTCTCCGTAAAGCAGGAGAGGTGCGACTCGGAGGCCGCGGCCTCCCAGAGCTGCGCCCCTCCTTCTCCGGAGGTGGCCAGCCCCATCTTTGCTAAGGCCAGCCTCAAGGTCCACCTGTGTCACTACTGCGGGGAGCGTTTCGACTCCCAGGGGGGCCTGCGGCAGCACTTGATGACCACCCACGTCTCGGGCTTGCTGCCCTTCGGGGTGCCGGCCTCCATCCTGGAGAGCGGCGACCTGGGGGAAGTTCAGCTTCTGGCTGAGGACCGGGAAGCTGGGGAGGGCCCCCGGCTGGAGGCCTTCCTTCTCAAGGAGGACGAGCACCCGCTGGAGCACCCGAGCTGCAGCGACCTGGAGCCTCTGCAGATCGGCCAGCTCTCCCTCATCTCCAAGGACCACGAGCCGGTGGAGTTGAACTGTAACTTCTCGTTCTCCAGGAAGAGAAAAATGGGTTGCACCGTCTGCGGCCGCACGTTCTTGCAGAAGAGCCAGCTGCTGGAGCACACGTACGCGCACAGGGGGAAGCGGCACAAGCACAGCCGCTGCCAGCGGCTGGAGAGCCCCACCACCCCCAGGTTTCATCCCTACTGCGATGGCGAGAGCGGGGGGAAAAGCTCCAGTTTACCCCAGGACCACTTAGATGAATGTATACTGGAGTCGGATCTCATCCAAGAAAGTGCCGATACGATCCTGGTAGAGTAGTTCTCCCCCTGTGTAGCCTTCAGGTGCTCAAACTGGGTATTTTGGCGTTTTCCACCGAGTGAGCAGCTACCTGCTGCAGCTTGTGGTCTCCAACCACTATCTCCTGTGGCCTCTGAGATGACTGTGGACCGTGTACTTTGATTTGTGTACTTGCTTTTTTACTTCTCGAACTTTTAAACTCAAGCTAATTTCCTTCTGAGTCCTTCGCGGAAGCCTCTGTGTAACTCAGTTACATTTTTTTTTTTTAATTAATGTAAACTTCACTCTGGCTCTGCTTTGCTGGAGTTAGGGCTGTATAGTTGTGAGGTTTAAACATCATCTGTTACGCTGCGCAGTGCCTGGGACTCTTTGTACCCTGTAGGATTGCTCTTCTGAAACTAGATGGGAGGGAAATGTAGAGGGAAATACATGGTATGGTGTTTCCCAAGCAGTTTGGTTTTAATTAAAATAAATATCTCAAGGAGATAAATCCTGAAGTTCGTGTTGTGTAGCTGCAGTTAATTTATCTCTGCATAAATACACGCGGGAGCCATGAGGTCGGTCTCCTCAAGGGAGCTGGTGGTGTTGCCGTAGGGGTGACAGCCTGGACTTTGACAAGCCCCGGAGTCCTAGTCAATACAATCTTCTGCATTTTCTTTCTAGACTCAAGTGGTTCACGTGCATTTTTCCTCATTCCTATGCCTCCCTTTGTCAACTGCTACTGCACGAGCAGAGACAGATTTTGATCCCCCTCTAGGACCACGTCCCAATATTGGCCTGGCTTCTCTGCAAGGAGGAATGAAAGCTGTAAAGAATCATAGGATCATAGAAGGGTTTGGGTTGGAAGCGACCTTAAAGATCATTAAGTTCCAACCCCCCTGCCATGGGCAGGGACACCTCCCACTAGAGCAGGTTGCTCAAAGCCCCATCCAGCCTGGCCAGAACTGTCCTTTCCTCTTGGAGAGGAGGCACATCCTAACGTAAGACTTCACAGGATTAAACACCACACAAATTTTTCTCATGAAAATGATTTCTGACTCTATAAACAGCTTGGAGCAAACACGTTCTTAAATATTACAGTCTGTATATTCACGAAGAGCAAACATATAATGTGTTATTTCTTCTCTGCCTGCAGAGCCAGCATAAAATGGTAAAACACAAGCTTTTTGCCTTTCACGTGTCATTACGCGATACCTGAAGAGTAATAACTTATCCAAGAGGAGTTTACAATTGTACATGTTCCTCTTGGATTTGTATTTTGTCCCTCTGTAGTTTTGTCACCTCCAACCCACCTCTCAACAGATGCTTTGAATCAGAAGGCCCCGAAGAGACACATGAAGTTCTTCCAGCGCAGTTTCTTCTGCTGGCAATGTGCACTGGCAGCCCAGAAAGCCAACCCCGTCCTGGGCTGCATCAAGAGAAATGTGGCCAGCAGGGCAAGGGAGGTGATTTCACCCCTCTACTCTGCATTTGTGAGACCCCACCTGGAGCACTGTGTCCAGCTTTGGAGTCCTCAACATAGAAAGGACATGGATCTGCTGGAACGGGTCCAGCGGAGGGCCACGGAGATGCTCAGAGGGCTGGAGGACCTCTGCTGTGAAGACAGGCTGAGAGAGCTGGGATTGTTCAGCCTGGAGAAGAGAAGGCTCCAGGGAGACCTTAGAGCAGCCTTCCAATATCTGAAGGGAGCTACAGGAGAGCTGGGGAGGGACTCTTTGTCAGGGAGTGTAGGGACAGGACAAGGGGTCATGGTTTTAAACTGAGGAGGGGAGATTTAGATTAGATACCAGCAAGAAATTCTTTGCTGTGAGGGTGGTGAGGCACTGGAACAGGCTGCCCATGGAAGTTGTGGCTGCCCCATCCCTGGAGGGGTTCAAGGCCAGGCTGGATGGGGCTTTGAGCAACCTGGTCTGGTGGGAGGTGTCCCTGCCCATGGCAGGGGGTTGGAACTGGATGATCTTTAAGGTCCCTGGCAACCCAAACCATTCTATGATTCTATGATTCTTCTGCAGCGAGGAGCAAAAGCCGTGTGAGCTGCTCCCGTAATCTCATTACCCAGTTTTTGAGAAGCTGGAGGCTCCCTGCCAGTCCTGGTGGAGTTGAGTCATTGCCTTTGGAAAGGGGGAGCCCGAACAATGGTGAGAACAGTTTATTGTCAGAATGCCCGCTCCAAAGCTCTTTGTAGTCAGGACCCTTTAGCTGTCTTCTTTGTCCTGGAGCAAGAGCTGCAATTAAATCGCTGCTGAATTAAAAGACCATCTGAGGTCTTTGTGAAGGCGGCGCGGGCTCTTCTGCTGGGCAGGGAGCTGCTCACTCCAGGGGATGGATTGGCCACCGAGGGCTGCCAAATGGTGCTTTAAGACAAAGGAGGGGAAAAAACAAACAGCCTCAGAGCCTTCCCCGGGTGATGTTACAAAATGCAGGCTGTGGTTTGGTGTGTCCCTGCCCGCCAGACCGAGGGCTCCTCTCCCTGCCTGTACCCATTGAAGCTGCTCCGGCGTGACAGGATCTCAACGCCGCTTCAAAAGCCTTGCTTTAAAGCACACAAACAAACAAAACCCCGCCGACAGCCGGGCCCGAAGTGCTGTGTCTGAGCAGGGAGCGATTTCTCACGGAATATTTCCTAGAAGAGGGTCTCCTGGGTCTCTCAGCATCAGCTAAATCACATCCCGCCCAGACCACTTGTAACTAGAGCAAACGCCCTCCAGTGTACACTGACCTCTATTTCTACATGACTGTGAAAAAACAGAGGGGGAAAAAAAAAAAAAAGTATTTTATAGTATTCCCTATTTGTATGTGACACTTTACCGAGTGGGCTGGCTTCTCTGGGTCCTGCTCGCTTCCTTCGGGTTCCTACATTTACTTTAAGAACAGGGAGGAATGTCTGCTGGCTTGGGGATAGCTGTAGAAAAGACATTAAAAGTGACTTTTCAGGCTATTCAGCAAGTAGACGGGCGCCTTGGACCTTGGAGCAGATGCCGAAGTTGCCTGAACTAATTGCCAGCCCTTGGTGACTCTGCAAAGGTGGTGGTAACAGAGCTCAGTGTTGGGGACAGCAGGGGGGACAGCAGGCAGCAGTGCCTGAAGGCAACTCTGGGACATGCTGCTCGCCTTCAGATTTGTGGTCAGGATTGTTTTGTTCACTTCTTGGCCATTGAAAGGGAGCTTTAATACCAACTGGGGCCTGGAGCATCTCCCTTACGAGGAGAGGCTGAGGGACTTGGGGCTTTTTAGTCTAGAGAAGAGAAGACTGAGGGGGAATCTGATCAGTGCTTATAAATACTTCAAGGGAGGGTGTCAAGGGGATGGGGCCGGTCTTTTTTCAGTGGTGCCCAGGGACAGGACAAGAGGAAATGGGCACAAACTTGACTGTAAGAAGTTCCACCTAAACATGAGGAGGAACTCCTTTCCTGTGAGGGTGGCAGAGCCCTGGAAGAGGCTGCCCAGGGAGGTGGTGGAGTCTCCTTCTCTGGAGACATTCAAACCCACCTGGACATGTTCCTGTGCAACCTGCTCTGGGTGGACCTGCTTTGGCAGGGGGGTTGGACTAGATGATCTCCGGAGGTCCCTTCCAACCCCATGTGATTCTGTGAACTGTGAACTTGGGCAGAAGATCCAAATGTTTATCAGCTGTATGTGTTGTAGGAGTGACTCTGTGGCACTGACTGCAAATACACCAGAAAAGCTGAAGTCACACCGAAATTGGCGCTGTGCTCGTGTACATCCTCAGCATGTCTTTGAAAACTTACAACTGTAAGTGATTTTTTTTTTTTCTTTTTATTGTCACACCCCTTTTTAGGGGGCACTTTGGCTAACGTTTGTGGTGCTGAACATCTGTGACATCAAACATCTGCGGAAGGCAGTTTTTGCATCATTTGCAGTACAAGGATTGCATTTTCAGCAGCTTTTTACTGCAAGCATTGAAATGCTGTTTTAATTAAAGCGGTAGAAAAAGCTCCAGAGACAGAACTTGTCAGGTCTGAGTTACGTTAACTCGAAAGCATCATTCTTTCTAAGTCTTTATGAATAGAAAATAATTTTAGAAGACGGGTTACGTTTGCTAAGCGAGGGCAGCAGCTGCTCCTGGAGACATCAGAAGAAGGTTTATTACTGCATGTAAAAAAGATGTTTGAATTACTGAGTGCTTAACCTTTATGCTGGTGCGTGCTTGAAAATCTGCCTGACTTTGCACAGCTGGGCTTGGTGAATATTCATTTCTTATGGTTTGTTGGTTTTTTTTTCATTATTACATAAAAGAATTTGTCCCGGTGTGCAGAATAATGATACCTGTGACTCCTTCCAGATACCAGCGATTGGTGGATAGGTGCACATGGGTTTGGGCAAGGAAAGCCCCAGGGTGGTGGTACCTGAAGGCTGGCAAGTCTAAAAGCTCCAGGAGATCCCCAGAGCTTTGCCCTGTGCTGTGAAGGGGTCCCAGTGTGCAGAGCTGATAAACTGCGGGGGATGATGTCCCTTGTCTGCGGGCTGCAGCTCAGGTTGTATGAAAACACGGGAAGATTTGGGCTCAGATTTGGGCCTGTTACTCACACAGGTCATCCTTTGAAAGGTAACCCACCCCTTCTCCGTGTTCATCCCCAAATGTTTGGCTTTTACCTCTTCCACTTTGGATTTTTGGGCAGCAGGGGGAGAGCGATGCCGGCGCTTGCCCGTTGGCTGCTCAGGAGGTGATGCGGATGGTTGGGCTCTGCTCAACCCATCTCCACGTAGGAGTTAAAAAACCTTCAGATCACTTTACCTTCAGACTGGGGTTACAACATGTGTCTTCAGCCATCTGGCTACACCAGCCATTTGGATGGGCTCTTTGCTTGTGTGTCATCCATGAGCCAGCAATGTGCCCTGGTGGCCAAGAGGGCCAGTGGGATCCTGGGCTGCGTAGGGAAGAGTGTGGCCAGGAGGTGGAGGGAGGTCATTCTCCCCCTCTGCTCTGCACTGGGGAGGCCACAACTGGAATCCTGCGTCCAGTTCTGGGCTTCCAAGTTCAAGAGAGACAGGGAACTGCTGGAGAGAGTCCAGCGTAGGGCAACAGAGATGATGGAGGGATTGGAGCATCTCCCTGATGAGGAAAGGCTGAGGAATACTGCTAGCACAAGCATTCTAGAAAGAGTGTAATGCTGATACTGAAGAGTTTTTGATTATTTTGGAGGCAGAAGGTATAAATCCCGTGTAAGCAAAGGCTTCAGAAGTGCAGTGAAAAGTGATCTCAGCGTAGGCAATTCGGCATCACTGAATGGAATGGTGAGCCACCAGTAGCCACGGCAGGTTTCTTATTGGCTTGTCAAAGCCCTCCCACGGCAATCTGCCAACAACAGGTCATCCCATACCACTGCAATCACCTTCAGCTTCACTGTTCAATAAGCCCCAGCCTTGTCTTTCCCCGCCTCTCAACATGGTTTGCCAAAAAGGACTGCAACCAAGTGCACTTCCCAGAAGTCCAGCACCACAGAATCACAGCATCACAGAATGATAAGG